GGACATAGGCCGTATGTTCCGGCTTTTCCCTCTGATTAAGCCTTCTTTCAGATTTATTGGCCATGGGAAATAATGGGAAACACAGTGAATGTAGAAGTTTTAGGCCATTACTCATGGCTTTTATTGGCATGGGCTCTGTCTGGCTCACAGCCAGTGACCTGCACAGAGGACAAAGCAAGTAACGCCTCTCCTGGCTCCTGGCAAAAGGAAAAGCAAAGCAGTGAGGGGGTGGCAGTATAGAGCAGCAGAAAGTGAGAGAGGAGACGTGGCGGCACAGTAGGTGGGTGGTGTGAGGATAGAGAGGAAGGAAATTGTTTAATAATTTACAAAAAATATATATATATATTTTTATATATATATATTTCAGTGCTCAAAACTTATCTGAAAACATTTTTGGCATCCCCTTGTAATAGAGAACAGGGGTTACAAAAAATACAAGCCACTATCTAGAAGGAATAAAGGGATTTATAATGGTGTCTAGACAGAAAAGTTGGTCCCCAAGGCAACAGTACAGAATGAGACACTGTCGACTTGGTGATAAAAGTAAAGTTCAGACATAAAGATTGGAAAGAAATTGTGCAAAATCCTGGATATACACTATATAGTATAGCATAGCATAGTATCCTGTCTTTATGTCTACTATTTACTTTGTATGTTCATATTATTACTAACAACTCCAAAAACATTCAATTTCTTCTACTTTTTCTTTCAAAAGAATAGCTTTTAAATATATTTTTTGAATTTTAAATTTCTAGGTCTAAACGACCCAGAAGCAGTAACGTCATTAATAAAAAATGAATGAAAAAGGTGTACAGTGACATTTATTGTCTCCCAGAGGCTTTTTTTCTTTTTGGCAAACAAAGTGAATTTATTTGTTTAGCGCCGAAATAACATATAAAACATGAAATATTTCCTTAGATGGTGTAATTACAAAGCTTTATGGTCATTTGCTTGTTTTGTCACCTTCACGAAATGTGTAATATTTCACTAGGCAAGAAGAAAAATAGCCATATTTAAAACAGCAGTTTTACTCATAAAGTTCCGTTTATTGGTTGTGGAGAAGTTTCGCAAAGTTTCAAAAGAATAACCCCTGATGAGGTCAAAAGAAATATGCTTTTGAGCTTCATGATAGAAAGATCCAGCAATCTCTATCAGTGTCAAGGTTTCTCAACTTCTGCAGCTTTGATTTTCACTATTGTGTTTTTTTTTTTTTTTTTTTTAAATCAGTGTCCCTTGAATCTCTGAACCTTGGAAAAGTGTCTTTGTGACTCACAGTGTTTGTCAAAATCTAACCAAGTTAATTTTTACCCAACAAAACCTACGTCATACTTCTTCATACAACAGAAACATTCATTCATGCCTGCCTGTTTCGTTGTTCTGTTTTTGCTTAAAACAATCCTACTCCCCAGTTATTTTTAAACAGGCCACTACCCACTCTCTTCCTAAGACCCTTCACTTGATCTTAATTCTTCAGGTGGTTTTACATTAATGTCAAGCTTCTGTTTTTAGCCAATATTTTAAGGGAAAAAATCAACATAACTGACTGCTTTTGTGACAAAAAATCTGATTTTCAACATAATTTCAGTTGGGTGGAGGCTTTTTGTTGTTGTTTTGTTTTATTTTTTTTACTACTTTTTGCCTCAGATGAAGGTCCTTATTTGCCTTTATTCTTCTCGATCTTATATCAGCCTTTGACCATGATGATGTGGCTCTACAATGGTTTGTGATGTATCAAATCGATTCTTCTCAGTGGAAAATGTTGGGGAACCTTCTTAAAGTGCACCTATGGAGTTCCACAGGGTGCCATACTGGGTCCTTTATTATTTTCTGCTTTTTTTTTGCTCACACTGGGACAAATTCTCAGTAAATATAACATCCCTAACCACTGCTATGCTGACGACACACAACTGTTTGTTCCACTTCAGCCCAATAGTAACGGCATGTCCTTCTTAATGTCTGGCTTGGCTCACATTAAATGCTGGATGTATAAAAGTTTCCCGAGTCTCACTAACGCCAAAAGACAAATTGCTCCTTATAGCTACAGAAGCCATACTGATCATTTTCCATCTGGCTTTGGATTATTTGCCACCTTTGTCCAACAAGAGGCTCGAAATTGTGGAGTGTGTTTCAATTAATTTCTTTCTCCTAATATTCAGGGAACAAAGGCCGCATTGTCTTGTTTCTTTCAGCTCAGGCTGATCTCTCACCTCACATCCCCTCTTTCTTTTTCAGACTTCGAAAAGGTCATCCATCACCTCTGTACTTACTTTTTGTAATGCACTTTACTCTGGTATCAGCAAGGGAAACATTCATAGGCTTCAATTAATCCAAAACACAGCTGCTCAGCTTTTAACTTGTTCCAGTAAAAGTGACCTCATTACTCCAGTTCTTGCCGGCCTTCACCGCTTACCGGTTAGACTTTGTTGATTGTTTTGAAAGTCTTACACAGCCATTTTACATTTGTGTAACCCCTGAGAGCCTCTGGCAACTGACTGTTCCTGAATCTCGCCTTGTGACCTGCTGTGAACTGATCTTTGCTGTTCATTCACTGAAGAGGATCTGAGAGCGGCAGTGTCTCCTTTTAAGACATTATTGAAAAGCTTCTTTTATGATATGGCCTTCTCCTCACTGCTTTTATAGTGGCTATTTTATTTTGTTCTTGTATATTTTACTCCACTCTTTATATATTTCACTATGTTGGTTCGCTTGTCGTTTTATCCTTTGCGATTTTATGTTTTGTTCTTTTATATAGTTGGTGTTTTGTCTGCTGGGTTTTATATCCTGTATTTTGATGTGTGCTTTTGAAATTTTGTTTTAGAAAGGTGCTATATGAATAAAGGTATTCTTATTATTATTATGAAACTCATAATGACTAGGTAAAGAGATAAAGGATGGCTGTGCGAGAGAAGCAGAATTCCAACAATATTAACCGGATTTTCTCTCTGAGTTCTATGCAAATGGCAGCTCTGCTTGCAGAGGTTGCGAAGTGAAGTTCAAGGCTCAGCTGCTCGCTGCAGATCCACACATTTCTAGAAATAGCTAAACACAAAAGCCTAATTAGCAGTAGGTGTAGCAACGGATAAGAGGATTTTTTTCCCCCCATATATTTACTCAGTTACCACCTCAAATTGGTAGTAAAATACGGTTTTCCGAACGCCGTGCATATGGCGTCGGTGCTTTGGGGGACTATTTTACCGGCAAGATGTCAAGACCAGGTGCATAAAGATGGCAAACCTGTAATTGGTTTCTTCGGCACATAAAGCTGCATTTTCTGTCTCACTATTTCCAACTGTTTTTTTTTGTTTTTTTTTTAAAGCACAGTTATATTTAGTTCTTTGCTCTTCCTGCGAGTATATAGGCTAGTTTGGGCTCAGCAGGCGATTACGTTGCACACATCCCCAGCCTTTCCCACCCCAAATCCTCGTAGAGGTCAAGTCTCCGTTAATTGCTTTTCCATGCAGTAGATGGACGGATCACAGCTTCGGAGAGGAGTCTGGGAGGTGTCGGGGATGAAAAAAAACACAAACTTAGTGACGTGCAAACAAATGAAATTCCAACCCACACACACACACATGCAGTCTGGCACGAATTCCAGCCAGCAGAGACTGTTATCAGCTAATTAGTCCTCGTAGCTGCAGGGGCCAACCTTATTGACACTGCAATGACAGCTTTCTGGTTTGAGTGGCGCCGTCAGTCGTCCAAGCATGTCATTCTGATTCAATTATACATACACAGTTGCAGGGATAAACCTCACAAGCACCCCAAAGGAGGGAAACGGCGGCTCTCGGATGCTGTGATCACTTGAGCGGACACATGGGTTATAGTGTGGCCAGTTTCATTCTCTCTTCTCCCCCCCAGAAAAAAAAGGCTGACTGACGTTGCGGGCTGGCTGAATAAATGAATGAATGAATATTTAAATTTCAAGCTCTCGCCACATCCCTTCGTCACGTGCAGCCTTTACGGCATACAAATATAGGCTCCGTAAAGCAGAAACAATAGCACAGAAGAGGAGGGGGTACAGGATTACACATGCCATTGTATTGCTACTCAATATTGTTCCTCCTGCAGCGTTCGCTCACAGGATCCTGATATCCTTCTCAGCATCCGACGGAGCAGAAAAGGCTGTGTTTTTTTTTTCTTCGTCCATCAATTCTTTATATCTATAATATGATGAAATTTCAGGCTACATGTGTAATAGGTTTCAGGGGGATGTTGAATATTCTTGGAGAGGAGCCAGAGGCTGGGCTAACCAAAGAATTTTTGCTTGTTTCAATAACTGAAGGGGCTATTATGGAGGCGCAGAAGCTTCATGGAGGAGGTGCAAGATATTCAGAAGATTTTAGATTTAAAAATTGAACAGAAAATACTCTGAAAATTGCATTTTTCTTCGCCATATGTTGATCACCTGCAGCCCCCGCATGGCTCACTTTAATATATAAGTGGAAGCATCCTTTTATAGCAGCACCATCTCATGCTTTGTAGCTGGAGGAGATTATTTTTGGGGGAGTTGTGACATAACCTGGAGCTAAGCAGAGGCACAAAAAAAAAAAAAAGTCCATCTCGTATGAGGAACACACACACGCAGGGGTAGAAAGTGGCGACATTCTCGCCTGTGACTGTTTTGATCTTTGTAGATTATCCGATGGGAGGATAAAGTAGATAGAAAGAGGCCTTTTTTGCATTTAAAAAAATGAGTGGAAGTGAGGAGAATTGCCGCTTTGATTTGGGGGGAAAATGTTTCCAAGAGGTAGGACGCGCGGCGCGCAGACGAGGAAGAGGAGGAGGAGGAGGAGGAGGAGCTGGGGATTTATCCAGGAAGATGCATAGTTTATGAAAGTGGCTGTTCTTGTGCATGAATGGCAATAGTTGCACTGGACTGAATCAGGAGGGAAACAGAGAGAGAGAGAGAGAGAGAGGAGGGGAGGAAAGGGAGAGAAAGTGACGAAGCGATATAGTGAAGAACTGGAGAGGGAGAGAGGCAGAGCGCGGCAGAGAGAGAGAGAGAGAGAAAGAGAGAGAAAGAGAGAGAGGGGCTGCAAGGCGACTCGGTTGGCAGTGTGCGCCTCTGCCTCTCCAGCAGCGGGAGAGATGTGCGTAACATGCAGCGGAGAGCGGTGATCATCATCTGCGCGCCGCATCGCCGTGGACCGCCGTGCGCAACCGAAGACGGAGACACGCCGAGGGGCGCAGCCCGGTTCGCACAAGCTGTCGTGACTCCCGAGAAGCCGAGAAGAGACTCTTGAGGAGGAGAAAAATCAAGAAGTGTTGTGAGGAGGAGGAGGAGGAGGGGGGGAAAGATGCCAGCCCTTCAGATGGTGATTGGGGGTTAATCGCCCCTCTGTTTTGGAGCCACTCTGACGCACCGGCGGCGAAGCGCATATTCCTATTTTTTGGGGTTATTTATTTTTTTTCCCACGGAATCCTCGAAGCAATCATCATCATCACACCTAAACCGGACTATCAAGTGTGGATTTTTTTTTCTTCTTCTTCTTCTTTGCATGCTGAATTACAACAGAATATGAGTCAGCGCGTGTCTGTGAGCTGAGGTGGAGCGTGTGTCTCTCTCCCGCCGCTCGGCTGTCTCGGTCCGCCACAAAAACCTTCCTACGCCAGGATGCAGCTGCTCAGAGTTGCGTGGGCACTGACCGGAGCGGCGATCTGCTGCTTTCTCATCCTCCTCATCCACTCCCGCCTGCTCAAAGAAGGTAACCCGCTCACCAAGTCCACCGAACCTCCCCACTTCCATGCTCCAAATTGCGCATAGGTCCGTGTAGTTTACATGAAGTTTTTTTTTTTTTTTTGCGCAACAATAACTCCAATGCGGAATCAAACACCCTATTCTGAATGTCTAGATTAAAAAAATAAATAAAAAAAATGTGAAGGGCGCGAAAGCAGATCCATGTGCATGAAGCTGTGATTTTTTTTCTCCCCTCTCTCACCTCATCAACAAGTCACCCGCCTGAGGATGATCGATGAATCAATATTCTTGCTTGTGATCATAGAAGAAATAAGTTCATAGAGGAGGAGGAGGAGGAGGTGGTGGAGGAGGTGGAGGAAAGGGGGGGAAAAGAAGTGAAAGCAGCAGTTCAGTGTTTGCACAGAGACACTGATTTGTTGTAAACGTTTTCAATAGATGGCACTAGAGTCTAGCTTTAGGGTAACATTGAGGTCAAGCGGTTGTACTGTGGCTCCATTCACCTTCTATTGTGTTTTCTCATCCCTCTTTTTGTCATGTTTAGGCGTAGAAATATTTCAAATCATCATTTGCACACCTCCCAGAGAGGATGAGTGCTTTCTGTGTGTGTGTCTGGATGGATGGATGGATGGATGGATGGATGGATGGCACAGCCTGCAGGACTTGGCTGCATTCTGGTGCAAGTGGCTGTTTTTTCTCTTTCTTTTTTCTTTTAGGGGGGGATAATTAATTGAGTTTCATTTGCTTGACATTCAGCTGAGAATGGCGTGTGGTTTAATGAGTCATAACTTAACTGATGTTTTTTTTTTTTTCTTTTCTTCACCGCGGCGGATTATCTTCCTTGTAACCCGCTGATTAATTCCACCTACATTGCAGCATAATAAATACAAATCACATCTGTCTACGGGGAGATCTTCATGCAGAGGTTGAGTTCACTTACTGCTCAAAACTCCTTATGAAAGTCAAATGGTGCAACCCGGGGAATTGCTGTACTGTGTAAAGCTGGCACACACACACACACACACACAAGGATAAAAAAAAAACAGCACTTAATATTCCCTTTATGCGTGTACACTCCAGGGCGAGCAGAGTCTGTTTGGCACTTTGGACTGTGTTTTTTTTTTCCTTTTGTGGGGATCTTTTTGAAAAGCGTGGCTTGGAAATGGCTCGTCGCCTCCCAGCCTCCAGATATTCAGGTCAAACAGTCTCTCCTTTCCGTCGTGGCGAGGATGTCCAAAAAAAAAAAAAAAAAATCTGGTCCGTCAGCCAAAAACAAGACAAGGGGAGTTGAGGATTTTTATGTGCTGGCACACATCCTGAAGTTTTAATTTACTGTGGCATACTAGAGGTCAAAGAGAGGATTGTGTGGCCACCTAACAGTACAGAAAAGTGCTGCTGGTGGCTGTGCTAATGCGAGGGCGCTCTCATTAGATTCAGGCCATCAGCATTGTTGAGCTTGTTGACTGGCAAGGCAATATTTTTGACCTTCACCCGCCGCCGAGTTGTTTGTCTGTATCATGTTGTGCTTTTTACACTCAGGTGTTTTTTTTTTTTTTTTCCCCTAAGCCTGCAATTTTTTTCTTTTGCTTTCTAACTTGACACCGAATAGCTTTTAGTTGGCGGTGGAGGCGGTGGTGGTGGTGGAGGGGGGAGCCTGCTGGTCATTCGGTGGCAAGAAGATGCAATTTCAGTTCATTATAAGGTCTTTAACTAAAATCTGCTACACAGAGAGAGAGAAAAAGGGACGGAGGGAGGGAACGAGTGGCGCTCACTGGAGGGGTTTGAGAATATGCTCACTTTAGAGAATGGCCAAGGTCAAAGCCAGCTGTAAGGCCTAATAACACGAACTGATAAAATGAATTCAAAGGACTGCATTAGTGGCAGTCTTTTGGGGAATGGAGGAGAGAGGAGGGGGTAATGAAAGGCCTAAAAAAAGAGCTGATCCCTTTTTTAGTTTTGTGTCACATATTAAGAACATCAGGGTTGTCCGGCCATCTGCAAGACGGGGAAATGTATTTTTAGTCTCTATCGCAGATTGATCGCCTCCTCGTGTGGGTGCTGTAGCTGCAGATGTGCACGCAGGTGGTATGTGAAGGTAGCCTGTCGACAGCAGCAGCAGCAGAGGCGGTGGGCGTTCTAGCTACCTGGATGGGAATCCAGAAGCAAAGTGTCACTCCTCTGCCGCCGGTGTATTTTCCGGTTTGTTGGTGTACACCTCATTGCGTCAGCCTCCCCTCCTCCTCCTTCCCTTTTTTCTTTTTGCATAATGTGACACAGGATCTGAGAAATGAGGATGCGGCGAATCGGGAGTGGAAACATATTTAAACATTATGCATCGGGAATGTGGATGAATTTTGCGCCATAAATATCTCACGCTGTCCACTTCAATAATTCAGGCGACGGAGCAAATCCCATTTTGCTCTTCATTGGCCGAGATATTTGTCACATGGCAATAGAGAGTCTGACAGGTTCACGGAACGCTGGGATCCGAACCCAGGAGCAGTTTGGGTAAAGAATAATAGTTTCGTAGAGAAGTAGAGATATGTTGCTCGGTGTAATAAAATAATTTGTAAAAATCGAGGCCCCCCGTGGGTTACAATTAAAGTTAAAAAGAGCAGCGTCTTGAACACAGCAACGGCCTGTAGTTCTCTATTAACGCAGCAATTATGTCGTGTGGAAATTGGGCATCAGGCGGGATTTATTGTCTAAATGTCAAAATATTGGAATATTTCTCTCTCAATCAGAACGTAATTTGTTGGAAATTATCTTCGTAAGTGCTGCAGATGGTGAGGAAACTTTCAGGTCACAGCCATAGAAGAGACAAATGGAATAATCTGGAGTGATTGATGTGCATCTGGTTCTGGGTGTTGGTGGCGTCATGGCTGGTGTCATAGCTAAAGTCACCTTCATCTGAGACGGAAGGTTTTGGGCTTTTGCTGGCATGCGTGAGCCACAGATTTTTATTAAAGGTGAGACGTTACAGGCAGAGAATGTGTTTTCATGCATCAGATTTTGGGCTGTTTTGCTT